TTTTTTTTTAGTTCCGAGAAATGAATCTCGCCAGGTTGAACTGGTTGCGGCTAGGCAAACAAATCATTAGAGACGACAATCTGTTAGACTGCTGGGAAAATTGCAAGAATCTTGTTAAAGTGGAGGAGCTGCAAAAAGATGTAGCCGCGTTTAATGAGTAAAGTTAATTTATAGCGATATGTGATACCTTCAAACCAAACATTTAAATCACCTCAATTTGCTAGCAATAAAAATATCTGTATAAATTCTACATACAAAAGATTCCTTGCTGAATCCTTCCAATGATACAACTTTTTTCGGTGTTTTGTTCGCTATTTAATTTTTTCTCCCTTTTGCTTAAGTCTAAAAGTCAAAATATTTGCGCTGTTTTAAAAAGAGTCATTTTTTTTATTCTTCAACATTTCAGAAAACACAAATACAGAAAACGAGGTTTTGCAATGTCTTCTCTTCGATTCGGATTACCGAATGGAGGGCCTGTGGAGCAGGTACCGTCAGTTATTTTACTCTACAGTTAACGCAACTAATGCAACACAACACAATAATTTTAAAAATCATCTTTAGCTCTTCACTGTTTCAGGCATTCACACTGGTGCAAATCTATGCAGATGGTTCCGTATCAGTTTCAATTGGTGGTGTCGAGATGGGCCAGGGCTTGTATACAAAGTGTATTCAGGTGGCTAGCCGAGCGCTCGGTATTCCCATCTCAAAAATTACCATTTTGGACTCAAGTACAGACAAAACAGCTAATGCACCAATTACTGGTGGAAGTCAGAATACGGATATTTACGGCACAGCAATCAAGGTTTGTTACAAATTTTAGTACAGCAGGCCTTATAAAAACTTCTAAGGCCTGTTAAAACAAAGTTAACAAATATGACTGATCTTAGCACATACCACCATATCTCAAATCGTTTCATTCTTCTGAAGCCTGTCACTTAAAGGCCGCCTGTGAAAAGCTAAAAGAGCGCTTACAACCAGTTATAGACGAGTCACCAGAAGGAACTTGGGAAGACTGGGTATGGACAGCTTTGAACAAAAAAATACCATTAAGTATCGGACTGCACGCAACGTAACATTTAATTTTCCCATTTTAATCGTTTGAGGTATTTGGTAAAGAAGTTAACTATCGAAAAAAACGCTCACGTTTTTTTGGTTAACAATTTTGTACGTATAAAAGAAAGCTGTTCTACGGTCTTGCAGAATTCCGCGAGCTGAAAATCATTTACCAGAGATGGGCGCAATATACTACACGTCAGGTGCCGCATGTGTCGTTGCAGAAATTGATGCCCTTACTGGGGAGAGTAAAGTAATAAATTGGCTCACAAAATCATATCCTGAAAAGCTTTTTTATATTAAAAAAATAAAAGGTGTTAACAAAAATTTCAACGTTTAGGACCTCCGTAGAGAAATGTATTAGTATTATATTATATACATACATTTTTAAACATCAGCATATAACAAAAAAATAATGAGCAAAACTCATAACTTTTTAACCCAGTCAGATAATAGATACTTTTTAGTTGAACGAAATAACTGTTGTTATGGACTGTGGAGATACAATAAATCCAGCAATTGACATTGGACAAATTGAAGGAGGATTTATGCAGGTGAAAAAAACTCCTGGATCTACTAGACTGACCCTAAAAATAGAAGTTGATTTGGCTTTCTTTCACTCGTCTTCGCAACTATCTGGTTCAAATCTGTACTTCTTTGAGTGTCTAACTAAGCAGACACTTAGATGCATACATTTCTTATAGTGCCTTGAGATGTCTGAAAAATATTTTTTATTTAGGGTTACGGGCTGACAAGTACTGAAGAATTTCTTTACTCAAAAGATGGTCAACTGATCACAAACAGTCTTGGAAAGTATAAAATTCCCACACCAGATACTGTTCCGGAAAAATTTCATGTTGCTTTACTGAAAGAATCAAGCGGAAACAACGCAATGGTTTACTCTTCAAAAGTAAGTTTAGATTAAACAAGCAGTAAAAAAAACAACTCCAATCTCTCTTCTTAGGGTATTGGTGAACCGCCGCTCGTACTGGGTGCAGCGACAACCGGTACTGCTATTCGACACGCTATAGAAGCGTACTGCCATTCAGCAGATTGTTCAGCAGATTTCCTGACCTTGAACTACCCGCTTACCGTTGAGCAGATACGTCAAGTATGTGCTCGGGCCAGAAAAAATAAAAGTTAGAAAAAATATAGCTGGAAAAATGTATCAAGTTTTTTATACCTGTATCAGTTTTTACGCCCTATTATACGTCTGATGTATCATCTAGGTCATAAAAAACATGCGCTTTATTACAGTCGGCAGCCAAAAACAGAAAAAAAAGGACAAAACTTTCTACCGCAAGCTATAAACAGAATTAAATACCTGTTCACATCAACTCAACAACAAAGCTCTCAAATACAGCAATTCTTTCCATAGCTGAATAAATTGTAAGATCCTACAAATGAATCCTCTGAACAACTGATCAAAAAAGATGTTCGATAAAGAGACATCTAATATACTGATTTTAATAGCTGTAATCTAACGGAAAATGGCATGGAAACGAAAAAAACTGACGTTATGAGGTTTCGATTTTGACGATTGTTTCAGCCTAGTTGAGTTATGGCAGTGACCGTAGCGCACGCCGTTTCAGCGTTGTTAATGGTAGATATCAAAGAAATATAGAGAAGTCAGAGAAAATTTTTAGCCAGTGTTCAAACCCGTCTAGAGTGTGACGTTTTTGTTGGCTCTATTCGTTGCTGTCCTACCCCTATCATACGTGCTGCTTGCCCTCGTGGCTTGCAGTCTTTTCATTTTATTGATCTCGTATCAATAAAGACGGAATTTTTGGATAGCAGCTGCGGGGTTTCCGGAGCTGCGTGTGTTCGACTTGTATAGTCAGTCCTTCCTCGGTTCTTGGTGAGCAGTAGTGAGTGGAACGGCTGGTGGTTTTGTCAAACGATATTGTTCCGTATCATCAGTGGGTTTTCGCTGAGTGTGCTTATGTATCCGATGAGAAGGAACCCGGAAGAGAGGATGCGTCGAGCTTGCATCGAATAGGCAAATCTTTGCATAACACACTCCGTTGTTTTTGTTGTTGTTGTTGCATAGGAAGGTTGACTGTGTGTGTGAAAACAGCGGTAGTGTTTGGGCTTCATGAAGGCCTTAAGTGCTGCTATTCAACAAGGAAATACGAAATACAGTTCAACATTTTAAAGCTTGCTAAAGCATGGCTTCAAAAATATAAACGACTGCAGAAGAAATGCGAACGAAAGGTGAGAAAGACCAGGCCAGTTAGTCACATAGGTCAACAGAAATTTTTTGCTGTCGTTGACAGCTGGGGGACTTGAAAAGATGCAAATGAACAGTAGCAATCATAAGGTCATTTCGCTAAACTTAAAGGCAACGTATGGCTTGCTTGCTTCCTACTCTGTCAAAAAAAGTTTTTCTGCTAATTTAAGCATTCAGCTGGTACATTTCTAGTTCGGAAGTAAATACAAAGAATGTTCTAGTTCGGAAGTAAATACAAAGAATGAGTAGTTGTCTTCATCGTGAGCAGTAGGTTCAAAAAACTCAAAAGCTGAATGGTTACCTTTGGTGGCAATCTTTAGCCGAAAACAGCAATACTGAAATATTCCGGAAATTTGTTACTTAAAAAAGTATCGCCATAATTGCGATCATTGTATCACATTCCAAAGCTTACAAAAAATAGTATGACCCATTGAAAGCAATTAGAACTTGGGGGACTTTTTTCTTTCAAGTTATTAACGACAGAGAAATGAAACAAGAATTGGCTTGTTCTGAATGTTTTACCGTCATACAGTGAAAGACTGAACAAAGAATTTAAGTAATTTTTTTACTCAAGAATTCCTGACAGTTGGTGAAAAATCTTGACTGAACTTCTAGACAATTCAAACCAGCCAAATGAATTTGATTTTTTTTTATATTTCCTAGCCTTCTCTGCCTACGAAGAGTGCCGAATTTTTTCGTCAAAAAAAAAAAAAAAAAAGTTTTAGTCTTTTTTTAAACATTTAACCAGATTTTCTTCTCACATAATAACAAAATTGATTGGTGCTTAAGGTGTACAAAAGCGGGAATTTGAATTTGATCAGTGGAGTGAGTGGTACTAAAAAATTCAGTGATCGAAACGTTATTACACATCGTCAAATATCTGCGTCAATTGAGTGGATGAATAACCGTCCCACTTCGATGAGAAAGTCACAGCAATTTTGACAATTCTGACAAGTTTAGGCGCTTACGAGGTGGCATGGTAAATTTAGCCGGTGATTTAGGTAAATTTCAAATTGGACTTTTAAACATTGGTATTTTGGAATTTGATTCTCTTCACTTTCTTTTTTTTAGTCATAATTGTACACAAGGTTTCGCTCATACTTTACCTTACATTTATCAAAAATTAATTGCGCTTTTTCATCACTACTGGTCAGTTACATTCGTTTGCTTATTTATTTCTCCACATATTTTTAGCGCCATCTCAAGCTTGAATTAATTAATGATTTAATCGGTTGCAGTAAAGCGTTTTATTTTTTACTTACTTATAAATCTACCAGTTAGACTTCAGAGTATTTTTGTTATTCTTCCAAATAGTTGAACTTAGGTGTACAAGTAGATGGGCCCTAAATGTCTAAACTGATTAATTTTTAGTCGTTATAACCTTTTTGTCTTTATTTCCGACAAATATATTCATTAACAAAAACACCATACAGTTAATAAAATTTAGTTCATAATTATAATTTTGCCTCCTGATATTAGAAAAACCGTTTAGTCATCTTTTTGTGAAACCAATCAGTGCTTCTGCTGTTATAGTGCAGCTGTTTCAATTGTTAAGATTTTTTTCTCCGATACCTCATGAACCTCTACCCTGCTACAGTCTGTAACTATCACCAAAAAAGTGGACTGAGAACAGAATAGAAAACACAGGCCAGGTCACATTGTCATCAGTAGCTGCTGAATTGGTGCAGCAAATTGGATAGCAATGGATACAAGCGGCGAAGAAACGTTCGAGTATCTGACTTATTTTGCCATCGCTGTATTGGCTATAAGCGTGATACTTTCGTTATTATTGTTGACGTACAGGTTTGTTTTTCAACAGGTTAGCAATCATTTAGCATAAAAATTTTGTTCACTTTAGTAGTAACATGTATCAACAGTTATTACAATGCTTTGTCAACTACATAATAGGCTTATACACTAACAGTAAGACAACAATTCTGCGTATACTGGCTATAAGGCATTCTATTGAAAAAAGCAATTTTCCTCTATTCTTTTTTGAAACTATCTGCAATTTATTCCCCATAAAGGCTAAAGAAAAAATTTTGCTTATTCTGTTGTTGTATAGTTAGTTTTACGTTATTCAAAAATGTTAGATAAGAAACGGGCGAAGTAACTTACTGTGCCTACCTCCTTCTCAACATAGCCAAAAATCACTTTTTATTCTCGTTAGTCAATAAAACGATATCGAACTGTGTAATTTTTAACATACCACTAAAAGCAGTGAGTGATTTTTGGCCGTCGTTAAGTCATATTTCTAATCGCCTAAACACAGATTTTTTGTTGTTTGCAACATAAGTCTTACTTCATAATAGATTCTAACAGTTAAAATAAGAACTCACTTCAGAAGTATTTACCATAAATTTCTTTGAATTCTCTCTAAACTTTCCAAGATCGTATTTTTTTATTTATTGTTTATGAAATTTTGGTTGATAAATATATAACTTTAATTAATCAAATTTTTTATAACCACTTTCTACTTCTTTTGCCGAAATCTTATTGAATAAATTCCCGTCATAGATGTTGCTTGCGGAATGATGCAGAAAATGGCAGTATAGTTTCTGCTCTATAGCTATGTTTGCGGTAATCTAAAAACTCAAAGTACTTTCTTTCTATCAAGCTTTTCCAAATGAATGTAAAAAAAAGAGACTTTCTTCGCAAAATCACCTGACATTCATGTAAATAAAACGCTTTCTTCAAGCAAAAAAAAAA